CCCCTCCACCCGCCTCTCCCAGAAGCTCACAAACGACGACAAGCCCTGGGTGCACGCCAAACACGGACTCGATCGCGCGAGCTGGTGGCTCACCTTCGCCGGGCTCGTCCTCGGCTTCATCGGCGCAGCAGTCCTCTGCTTCACCGGCTACGAGGACGTCGATGTCCTCAAAGACAGCCAGCTCTGCCTCGTCCTCGACGACGAGTTCGACACCCTCGACCTCCAGAACACCTGGACTCGCGACGTCGAACTCGGCGGCTTCGGGTGAGTGCAGTCTTTGCCTTGCGTTTCTCGCCCAGCAGGGCCCTCTAGCAGGACAAACACTCACCATCCTGATACAGAAACGGCGAATTCGAGATGACAACAGACTTGTCCGCCAATTCCTACATCCAAAACGGCCAGCTCTACATCCTCCCTACCCTCACCTCCGCCTCCATTTCGGGCGGGTACAGCTCCGTGCTCGATGGCGGGTCCTATACACTTGACGGGTGCACGGCTGGCGCAGGTGAGTTCAGTTCGTGGTCAGTGTGGCTGTATTTGGTGCTGGTTATGCCCGAGACGCCACGTTTGTGGGACGGCGTGCGTTGGTGATAGTCGTTTTGTGCATCCGCGACGTTCATGGTGGGGCCACCACGGGATGACGAGACGAGCCAAATTCCAATTTCCATAAATTGTGGCTGCATTACAAAATATTTAAAAAAATATTTAAATCTATCGATCCCGCCGGTTACGACACAAACTGACCCAATTCCAAACCACAGGTACCCCAGCCACGAACCAAGACCTCCGAACCCGCCAACAAGATGCTGGCGGGGGCGACAACGGCGGCACCACCACCAACACCACCACCACCGGCACCGGCACCAACTCCACCACCACCCCCTCCGGCTCGTCCAATTCCACCACCACCACCGGCGGCACCAACTCCACCACCTCCTCCAACAGCACCTCCAGCTCCGGCGGCGGCACGGGCGGAGGGGGAGGGAACCCCTGCACAGCCGTCTCCTCCGCCGCGGCGGGCACGGTCATCAACCCCGTCATGTCCGCGCGCCTGAACACGAAGGGCAAGAAGAGCATCGGCTACGGGCGCGTCGAGGTGCGCGCGAAGCTCCCCAGCGGGGACTGGCTCTGGCCCGCGATCTGGATGCTCCCCGAGGGGAACTCGTCTTCCTCCGCGGCGTCGAATGGGAGCGGGACGGGGGTCGCGGGCGCGGGCGTGTATGGCACGTGGCCTGTGAGCGGCGAGATCGACGTGAGTCCGCGCCGTGTTGTGTTTATGTTTATGTTTCGCGGGCGGGACATGACGCTAACCCACAACACCCCGCACAGATAATGGAAGCCCGCGGCAACGGCCCCACCTACCCCGCCCAGGGCTCGAACTACGTCCGCTCCTCGCTCAACTACGGCCCGTTCGCCGCGGGGACCGCGTCCGTCACCACCAGCGCCGCGACGCTGGTGAAGAACATCTACGGCTGGGTGAGCACGAAGCGCGGGAACTACGCGGACGACTTCCATGTGTACGCGATGGAGTGGACGGGCGAGTGGATGCGGTTTTATACGGATAGTCGGCTGCAGGTGGGTTTCCTTCCTTTCTTTCATTCCTCGCCCCGTCACCCTCCCGCACCACGCACGCTAACGCTAACCCCAACCCACCCCAGGCAATGATCAACCTCAAAATGACGTCCTCCGCGCCCGACTCGTACTTCTTCAAGGCCGGCGGGTTCCCCGCGACGGCGATGAACGTCTCCTCCGGCGAGGAGGTCGTCGTGCAGGACCCGTGGGCGGGGGGGAGCAACGCTGCGCCGTTTGATCAGCGTAAGTGTTTTTCGTTTTCGCTTTCGGGCTTCGTTTTCGTTTTCGGTCTTTGTTTTTCGTTTTTGGGGCTTTGTTTTTCGCGCATTCTCGCGTGACACCTCGCCCTCGCGCGCGCGTATATGATAATGGTCGCTGACAAACCCCCCTCACCCACAGAATTCTACATGGTCATCGACCTCGCCGTAGGCGGCACGAGCGGGTGGTTCCCCGACGGGCTCGGCGGGAAGATGTGGTATGATGGGTCGCCGAGTGCGTATCTCCCCCTCCTTGCTCCCTCCCTACTCAAATTGATTCACGCTGCCTCCACCCCCTTAACTCAACTCCTTACTTAACCCAACTCACGCTGCCCTCACAACTCAACCCCTAACTCAACAGCCGCGATGCAAGCCTTCGCCAAGGCCCAGGACACGTGGAGCGCGACGTGGCCGCAGAGCGCGGACGACCTGGCGTTCAGGATGTGCGTATGCGTAGCTTGTGTTATGAGCCCGGGCTGACGCTGACCCAACCCCCCGCCCCGCCAGTGACTACGTCAAGATGTGGCAGCTCTGCGGATGATCCTTGGCCACTACTTCCACCTGAACGCGCCCGCCATGCCCTCAAATTCCCCCCGCACCTGCTTTCGCTCTTGCTCTCACCCACAACGCTCCTCCTCGTTTCTTGGCCGGGCCCATTCAAGCCCGAGATAACCATACCAAATCAAATCAAATCACAAATCGTAAATACTGGCCCCAAGACCGGCCACCGTGGACTCCCTTCTCCTTCTCCCGCCTGTCTTCTTGCAACGTACCACTTACATACGTACATACACGACACACGCAACTTCACGATACACGATACGATAGAGAGCGGACTAGACTGCCTTACACCCATACGTGCGCTGGACATTTACATTCACTTGCAAACCGATATTAGTAGTAGACGACCTTCGCGTGCCGTCCAATCGTCGTCGGATATCGATAAGTATGCATATTATGAACGGACTCTAGGTCGGTACTCGGTGCCCAAAAGATTATTCTAAGTACTGGACTTCACTTCTAACCGGATAGCCAACCGATATCGCCATCTTATACCAATGCCACACCATGACCAACACCTATAAGCTGGCCATTCACTTGCAAACCGATATTAGTCGCGATGGCCCCCCGCACCGTCCAATCGTCGTGATGTCGATCAGTATTGATAATGTAAACGGGCTCTGGTAGGGTGCTCATGATCAGCGCTTCGGTGCCCAGCGCCCATTAATTATCTATACAAGTACTGGACTTTCACTTCCAACCGGGTAGCCAACCGATATGATATCGCCATCTTATACCAATGCCACACCTAACACCGATACATAATGGAAATGGGCTCCTATTCAACCGAAGCTCGCGACACCTATCACCACCCTAGTGCATCGGCCGATACCGTTCCCTTGTATCCCTATTCAACTGAGAAATGCACAAATTTTCCATCATACTGTCCTATTAACTTCTGCCGCCGCACGCCCCATATGCACACATGCGCCACGAAGCATCGGCGGTGCTTGGAGCCCTTTTTTTCGCCACCCGATACCTATCATTACCAGCACACCTGGCTTTCCTTACATCATGGACTGGGGCGCACCCTAAGTATCTCTGTAGCTCGTAGTGCTATAGAAATAAAGAGTCAAATCAAAACCCTTTTTGTCACTCCCTTGTCATTGCTTATCGTGATAAACCCCTTGGAGTGATGGGCTGGAACACTGACATTACATTATGTATTATATTATGTTTTTGGCACACAGACGCCGACGTCGAGAATCTCCAAGGCACGCCGAGGTCTGATGCACCCCGCATCACATCGATACCCAGGCTTCCACTTCCCAGAGCGTGGAGTGGGTCTGACTCGGGCGACCGTGACCACAGACCTGCACCCCACCCACCGCCGCCGAGGGACCGCGCGCCCGGCGTCGATACCAATTTCACAGTTATCGCACGATCGGGTCCAGCGGAATAACACAGCGGACTGCAAACCTCGGAAATAAGTCGCTGTAGATGTATCTGGACATGATACGTCAGATAGACAGGGATGAGAATCGACGAGATGTTTGACGTCATGTTCGCCTCTGTGTGGCGACACGTAAAATCTTCTGGGCACCGTGACGGCGCACTGCGCTGGCCCATAAAATCCACTACCAAGCGTCTTCGATGGTCCATGCGCGGGGCTGGGATCCTCTCGACGCCGAACCCTCGCGCGCGCAACGCATCTTGGGCCCGCAAGGCCTCCCGCGAGCGGAAAGATGGGTATTATCGATCTTTGTACGTGCTCGTAGAAGGGGGTATCACAGAGCCAATCCCATATTCCAGGCACCGCACCCGTCCACTTCCATTGAGTGTGCCTATGGAGACATTAGCCTTCAAGGGTACCTGACCATCGTTGGAGCGCGCCAGTGCCTCTGAGAGACCGACGAGCGGCCCCCTTTCCCAGCAGCGAGCACTGTCGGCTGCTGATGACCGTACGTGTGTTTTAAAACGTCGAGGGTGCTGAAGCCCCGATGACGCTGAAATGACGACGAGCTGGCTCACTTTCCCAGCAACGAACGGTGTCGGCATATCAGAGTCTTGTGACCAGACTCCCCCCAATAACAGGGCTCTCCGTATCCTCGGAGACGGGATGTTTGCGATCACAATCCCAACATACCCACAACCAATGCTTCGGAGACTCCGTACGCACCACAATCACGCGCTTCACATGGACCGGGTCGACATAGGACTTCCGTTGATCGCATTCCCGTCATTGTGTGCTGTGCCGTGGAGCATGAGTGTTTTCCCGCGGGCCATGAGGGACGCTTACCATCGGAAGCGCCGAAGTCAAAAGACTAATAATACTGTTATAGCAGACTCAGTCTGATCGATGTTGTCCACGGCGGTGGTACCTGGATAAGAATAACTGCAGCAGAATGACAGTGTTCTAAATAACTGCGGCCCGGGAGTCATGGGTCAAGAGTGGAATGGTTCTGATCAAGAAATAAACACTGGCAGTAGCGTAGTAGCACCCAACATTCAGATAGAAAAAGGCAGACACACCTTAAACATCAAGGACTAACCATTACTAGGAGCGTTATCGCTAACGGGCAGCCGCGAGCCAAAGTCCACTCGCAACATCGCAAGTGGCCTGCTATCGTTGCCCTTGTACCCGAGCTCTGGACGACTCGGAGTCGGAGACGTTTCGCTCATACAATCCTAATCTCCCGTCGGCAGACCATCGGGTTGAGGGAGATAGTCGTGCGTCCTATATGATGATATTTCTGGCCGAACGCAATGGGTTTGGACCCTACCAGCGACTAGCGGAGGACTCACATAGACGACGGGCATTCCGTGGATGGTGGCGAAGCTATAATCGAGATATGGAGGTTGAGCGTCGACGGGATGACAAAATGGACCGAAGTTGCGGAGTGCCGATGCGTCCTCGAGTCCAGCCGGCCATCCTCACCAAGGCACCCAACTGAGGGGCGAAGTTAACTCTGGTGAACTGCCAGGTGTGGGCAGGAGCAACAACTGGACCAAAAGCCGCAGCAACAAGTTGACTAGCTGAGGGCATGAAGCTTAGAGGGTCGGCTATTTGTGGGAAAGCCTTATATCTGACGACGACCTGGGCGCATACGGCCACCAAAGGCCCGGGGCTCCTGCGTCAGACAGTTACGATCGTGCTTTGGTCTCATTGACTGATGCAGAGCATGCACGCTGCGACCGCATACCCAGCTTCATTTCCATTGTCACTTCGGTCTCCTTTACAAATCTCACTTCGGTCTTGCTTCGGTCAGCCTTCGTCTTCAGTCCTTTGACTTCCAGAGCTACGCCAGCCCTCGCCAGCCCCACCTCCGAGCCCGATCGACTGTCATCTGTCGGTAAATGTCTGAAGGAGACTGCCTCCGAGCCCCACATCAACTTCCGAGCCAAGTGACAGCAAGTGACTCGGCCGATAAAATTTATGCGCTGGCGTTTTCCCTGTTCCGATGTCCGGCACAAGAGCGAGCATAGTGAGTGCAGACCAGTTCTTGGAACTCTAGAGGACAGTTATAACTACTTCCACTATACCCAGCAGGCTGGTCCAGTGTATGGCAGAGTGGTTCCAGTGAGTGGACACTGACGACCATACACCTTCGAAGGATGTGATCGTCAAGGAGCTCCACATCACCGTTTTGTTCCCGACCGGTAACAAGTTTTCAATGTGATTTTGAGTGCAATCTTCGCTAAGGCACCCAGTCGTGGAGCCGCGCCGCGAGTATGTGGGTCGGACGCCTATCTTCCTTGCTTATAAGAATTGACGGATGTCAGAGTTGGCTTGAAGACACAACCATGCTGCGATTTACCCTCTTCGTAGTGTCCGCACTCCTCTGCCTTCAGCTCGCAGTCGCGGAGCCCGTGGCTGATGGACTTTTCTCCCGAATCCCCAAAAACACAAAAACGGCAGTGAAGAAGTCGTCCACTATTTCGGCCCTTTTGGTTCGAAGGGAGCGTTACGTTGCAAGAGACGGCGGATGTCCCTCAGGATATTGTGGGTTTGCAGTTCTGATGGCTAACAACAACCACTCACTGGTGTTGCTGCAGCGGCATGCCCCAACAACCCGGACTATTGCGCTCCCACTGGGAACACTTGTGTAAGAGGACAATTTGTTTGCGGGTATGCATTTGGCAGTTGACGGGATGATGTGCTCCAGTGCAGCGGTACCTCGGGTAACTGTCCTAAGGGCCAATTCGTCAGTGTTTTTGCCGCTCTTTCTTCCGCATTCCCTATTGACGTGCCCATTCCCAATGCTAGTGCTTTGGTACTGAGGGGTAAGTTCCCACCCGCGAAAGATTTTGGACATGTCCCACATGATCGAGGACGTGATGTAGGTGTTGCCCAAATGATTCACAGACATGCGGTGGCCAGGACTGCTGCGACCCTGGCAGCGATTGCTGCTCAGGTGGCGATTGTTGCAAGCCAGGATATAACTGCTGTAACGATACTGCTGGCGGATGTAAGGTGCACTTGCATGGACCGCCGGGGCTGTACTGACTTTATTACTAGGTTGCCCGACTGGGTCCACCTGTGTCACTGGCACAAGCCAATGTTCTTCCTCAGGCGGAGGCGGAGGCGGTGGTGGCGGAGGAGATGGAGGAAGTAGCGGTGGACCGTCGTCTCTGCCACCCCCTGGAACAACGTCTTCTGCTGCAGGGGCTACTACTAGCACCGGACCAGTCGTCTTCACACCCCCCTCTGGAGAACCGTCGACCACGAACGCTCCTCCCGGGTCATCCCCGAGCTCTAATCCTGCGCCTGCGAGTGGCGGCGGTGGTTCACCTCTTGGTAGGCGGCGGTTGGATAAGTCTGTTGTGTACCACTGACCAAGATCGTCTCAGGTGGAACAGGAGGTTCGCCACGAAACCTCGCACTCATGTCGAACTGGCAGGCAGCTACCATTGCCACGGTCCTCTGCGTCCCCCTTCTCCAGACGTTATCTCGCGCTATCTAATTGCGCATTCAATGTCCCGAATTCCCGGATGGTGTTGGACCCTAATCAGTATCGGTGATGTGCAGTTTTTAGATGTTCATGACGACGTAGCGATATCCCTTTTCAACTGCGGCAGCTCGACGCATTAATTTTATTAGAGCCATGCTCATTCTATCGGTTTTTTAGACCCATGGCCCAGCGTCCTTAGGCGGTTTACCAGAATGGCGCTGCAAATCCTTTGACGACGACGAGTACCGTGAGGACCGGAGAGTGACCATATGGCAGAGTTCGTCATCGTGAAGCCCCAAGTGCCTGACAGTAAATTTCATGAGGCTTGAATGAAGGATGACAGCAGGCCGGACCAAACACCCTGCCATTTTTGGAACTGATCACCCTGCATCATGATGCTAAGCGCTACAGGACCCCCGATAATGGGTGGGGAGGCCCGTTCCCTGTTTTCGAAAACAGGCCTTTTTTTGTCCGGACAAAATTTCGAAATTTTGGCTTTTTTGTCCGGACTGGATCAGGCCTCCCCCCCTCCGGGGGCGTTTTTGTCC